CCCCCAGAGACAACTGACAACCTGATTGAAAACTCAGCCCCCATGGCTGTCATAACGAGAGGTAACACAGGGCGCGGAGAACATAGGTGAGCAACCTTGTAGCAGGAAGCGCCCAAAGTGGCCTGAGAATAGAGGCTCTGTGTAACGAGAGGGAGCCCCCCTCTGCGCGCCTGGGTTAGGGATCAGTTAGGAAGAGCACACGGCCCCGATCCGACACAGGCAGGGCACTCCAATTAGATCCCAGACAAGATAAACGAGGCCCCTGACAAAACTGGGACAGAAAACGCCACCCCTTTAGATTTTGCTAATTTCAAAATCAGTTCATCTTCCAGTTTTTCTTTCCTTTCTATAGGGTGTATTGACTCACCACAGAGAGAAAGGGAGAGAGAGAGAGAAAGTAAGAAATCGCCCCCAGGAGGAAGCCTCAACTCCTTCTTCATCCTTCTCTCAGGGTTTTGGGCACACACACGCCCTGCAGCATTTTTCAAGCTGCCGAGTCCAGGACTCAAACTGTGCCGTTGGCCATGTAGGGTGCAGCCACCTTAACCACCGCTCCACCTGGCTGGCCTCATCTTCCACTCCTGACGGAGCTCAGCCTCTCTGGGCACCTGGGACCCCAGTGGTAGCATTGGCACGGGGGACAGCTGCGAGTGACTGGGAGGGAGAGGGTGGCGCCAAACCACATTAGGGGAGGAGCCAGGCAGACAAATCCACACCCGGTCAGGCCTAAGGGGTCTCTGTATCTCTTGCTGGGATGGCCACTGCCACTCCACGCTTGGCGGGGCCTGTTCTGGTCCTCGGGTCCCTGGAAAGGCACCTCGTGTGAGGAGTCCTCTCCAAGGCGGACTGCAGTTCTGACAGCCAGAGCACCAGCCTCCTGGCTGGCCAGGCTGCAGGGCCTCCCGTGGCCCCAGGTCGGGGTGGGGCGGGGCGGTGGCCGGGAGGGGCAGGGAGCGTCTTCCCATGCTGGTGCATTCTCACTCTCCTTATTCCTGGTGTCCCCCTGGCCCTTATGCCTTCATGCTGGAGGACCCTCCCAGGCTGGCTCACCCTGAGACAGCAGGGGACACCCAGTGAAGGCCCGTCAGATATAAGGACAGCCAACCCGGAGCCCACACCCACCCTCTCCTTTACCAAGCCCTCACACACCAAGCCACACTCCGTCACCCCATGCCACCTCAGGAGCAGGCATTTCCTACCCGGGGACAAGCAACTCAGGCTCCCCTGCAGCCCAGAGCCCCTAGAAGGTACCCGGCCCCAGATCCCAAACTCACCCCATGTGCCTGCCCTACCTCACTCACTCCTTCCAGAGAGGACTCCATCCAGGTGTGGACCCTGCCCGGCCCTCTCCCTGTCCCTCAGCCCTGACATCCCATCCTTCCCCATGAGGCCCTACACAGCCTTTGTACCTCGTGTTTCGAAGGGTCCGTGAGGACCAACTTCTCCATGACACGATCATTTCAGCTACCTCAGCGCAGCTCCCTAGGGAAGGCAGGGCCAGCAGAACAGGCAGACACCCTGGCAACGGGAAGGAGCCTGGGGGACGCCACCCAGCAGCCAAGAGTGCCCCATCATCTGTCCAGAGAGGGGGACAGGGTGGCTCTCCCAGTTCCAATTGAGAGTCAACTGCCGGCCCTTCACATGACTTTTTAAAGTTTTTTTAGGCTTATGTCATAGGGCATGTGAACTCACCAGAGAGGGGAAGTGAGAAATCAGCTCCCAGGGGGATGACCACACCGCAACCCCTTCTTCTCCATTCTCCTCTCAGGAACTTGGGCATACATGCACACGTGCCTGGCATGATTTTCCAGCCATTGGGTCCAGGACTTGAGCCATGTAGTCAGCCATGTGGGATCCAGCCGCCCTAACCCCCACACCACCTGCTGGTCATATTTACCTATTTTTAAAATACTCAATTGGTTCCCTAGAATTTTCCAAAGGTTCCAGATAATTTTTGCTTGCTTTTATTTTTTTGCTTGTGTGTTTGTTTTAGAGAGATTGTTCTGCTATAGAACACATGCAATCGCCGGAGAGACAGAGAAAGTCAGAGAGATAGACAGCGAGAATCATCCTTTGGGGGAATGGCCATGCCACAACCCTTTCTCCTCCATTCTATCAGGAATGTAAGCATGCAGGCACATGCGCCCAGCATGAGTTTTAAGCTGCCAGGTCTGGGACTCGAACCACAGTCAACTATGTGGCAGTCTAGCGACGTAACCATTACACCTTCTGCTGGTCCCAATTTTTGTTTGTTTTTAAATACATTAAGAACATACATGAAGTCAGATATATTTGATATGTGGTTTAAAACCACGGTATTGGTTCATCAGAAAAGTCATGGCACATATTTTTTATGTTTTTCTATGCATCGTGACTTTTCGGACTACACAATCACCAGCAATCGCCATTTTACTGTGACTTAGACTGCCCCACCCTAGGCTCCAGGGGAGTTCACTCAGCCTGGCTGCTGTGACCTCTTTGCAGTGACCCTGGATGTCTCTCACAGCTTCATATTCCTGGATAACCCCATGTGCTGGGCCTCATCCTCACGTCTCCTACCCAGGGACCTGGGATCAACCCTTTCCCCCAGGGGTCCTGGCTCCTCAGGGTGCACGAAGGCATTAGAGACTAGCTGGCTATGAGGTGCGCTCCCACCTCTGGACTGGCCACCACCGTAGGCTCTCTCAAAGGAGATTTCGTGTTCACAGATACATCCAATCACCACTTGCGACTCCAGAGCTTTGTCTTAACTTTATCCAACTTCCTTCATAAAGTTGTTAAAAAACAAAGAGCCAGGACTGACAGATGGCATAATGGTTATGTTGCTGACTCCCATGTAGTTGACCATGGTTCGAGTCCTGAATGCAGTGGCTTAAAACTCACCCTGGGTGTGTGTGTGTGTGTGTGTACCCAAAATCCCAAGAGGATAATGGAGGAGAAGGGACTGCAGGGTGGCCATCCCCCTGGGGGGAGATTTCTTGCAATCTGTCTCTCTGTCTCTATCTCGCTGGTGAGTGCATGTGCAAAAATCTCAACAACAACAAAAACACAGAGCCTTTCCTCCCTGGGTCAGGCCCCTGGCAGGTGGGAGCACTTTCCTGTGCTGAGTGTGGTTTGTGGTCTTTCACACAGCCTTCTCCTGGGGCAGTTTCCTGGGGGCACATTTATTCACTCCTCCTGTTTTTTGTTTTTTGGGTTTTTTTTTTTTGAAATTTTTTGCTATGGAGTGTATGTGCTCTCTAGAGAGACAGAGAGATGGAGAGAGACAAAGTGAGAAATCACCCCCTGGATAGCCACACTGCAGACCCTTCTCCTCCATTCTCCTTTTGGGATTTTGGGTGCACACACACACATGCACCCAGCATGGGTTTCAAGCCACGGGGTCTGGGAATCAAATTGCAGTTGGCCAAGCAGGAATCCAGTGTCTTAACCACTATGCTAGCTGATGGCCCCACCTGAGCATATCTTTTAAAGTTTATCATAGGGTGCATGTGCTCGCCAGAGAGAGAGAGAGTGAGAACTCAGCCAGGAGGGCGGGGAAGGGGAACGACAGGGGATGGCCACATGCTTTCTCCTCCATTCTCTTCTGGGAATTTTGAGCATGCCCTGAGTGTTTTTCAAGCTGCTGGTTTTGGACCTTGAACCATGATGTATTAGGCCATGTGGGATCTGGCCGCCTTAACCAGTCTGCTACCAGATAACAACAAAGTATTTCTCATAACTTTGGCCTTGGGCAAGTCCTTGGACGATTTGAACATTCATCAGCATGGTAACCAGTCCACAGCACCAACAAGCCAAACCACTGCCAAGTCGCCGAAAAAGCACCTAAAATGCTCTCATTGGCACTGGCACTGGCATTCTGAAGATTCTATAAAGGAAAGCAAAGAAAGGGTCTTGGGTCCTACTTCTGTTCAAACAGACCACAGTACTTGTCCAATATGCCTCTTGGCACCAGTCCTCTGGGGACAGGTCACAGCAAAGACCACAGAAGAGACCCAGGTCCAGAAGAGATGGTGGTGGTGGGCCAACAGGTGGTGTGGTGGTTAAGGTGCTAGACACTCCCATATGGCTGACTACAGTTCAAGTCCTGGACCTGGTGGCTTGCTTTTGCACTTTCCTTCTCTCTGTTTGTCTGTTTTTCTCTAGTCAAATGAAAATAAATAAGAGATCTGCAGTTAGCATAATGGCTATGTCACTAGACTCCAATGTAGTTGACTGCAGTTCAAGTCCCGGACCCTGTGACTTAAACTCACGCCAGGCGCGTGTGCGTGCGTGCCCAAAATCCTGAGAGGAGAAGGGAGAAGGGATTGCAGCGTGGACATCCCCCCTGGGGGGTGATTTCTCGCTTTCTATCTCTCTGTCTCTGTCTTTCTCGTAAGCACACGCGCCCTATAATAAAACCTCTCCAAAAAAATAAAAGAAAGAAAAGAAATGAATTAATAAATAAAATTAAATAAATAATTCTTTTAAAAAGAGAGAGAGAACGAGAGGCAAGCTGGTAGTTTCCAAGCGGCAAGGAACAGGTCTGTTTGCATTCCTCTAGTAACCAGTTCAGAATCAAGAAAAAGAATAGCCTTATTTTTTTTTTGTGGGGGGGGGTGCCTTAGGATGTGCACACTCACTAGAGAGAGAAAGAGACAGTGAGAGGGAAAGGGAGAAATCACCTCCCATGGCCACATCACAATCTCTGCTCCTCTATTCTCCTCCCGGGATCCTGGGCACGCACATATGCACATGCCCAGTGTGAGTTTCAAACTACCGGGTCTGAGACTTGAACCGTGGTCAGCCATGTGGGAGTCCAGCCATGTAACCACTACGCCATCTGCTGGCCCCAAGAATAGCCTCTTTTAAACTGCCCATCATCCCCCCTCCACACTCTGCAGCCTGCAGACGGTTTACTGGAAGATCACTGCTGTGGGTTTCCTGTAAGGAGCACTGGTTACCCTAGCCCGGTAAGGCATCTTTTCTACTAAAAGAAAAACTCACACTACAGACACGTGTGCTTAATAACAAGCTGTATTTGGTGCCAAGGTTTTAAAAAGCACTATTTTGACATTAAAATGTGTTCTTCTCTGTTTTCGTGGCCTGTCTTCAGAGTTTCCAAAGTCTAAATTTTCCTCTTTGTAACGAAGAAATCTGAAAGTCCTATGGTGCCATTCTTCCTAGAGTCTCTAAATTGGAAGCAGATGAAGACACTCATTAGTAACCTCAGAGCACACTAGGAAACTGACCAACTACAATGTAATTTAAAGGTCTACCTGAGAAACTGATGCTGAGGACCCTTCATTAGCAATTCTTAAACTTTTTTTTTAATTTTGCTAGAAGGCGCATGAATGTCAGAGAGACAGAGGGCGAGGGGGAAAGCACCCCCATGGGCTGCAGTCACAACCCCTTCTCCATCTCTCCATCCCATTGGGATTCGCGGCCTGTGCGCACAGGGACCCAGTGCATTTCTCAAATTGTCGTGTCAAGGACTTGAACTGTAGAGTCAGCCACGTGGGATCCAGCTGCCCTAGGCACCAGACCACGAAGCAACCCAACGCTGTTTTCTTTATTCGTGATCAAGTGTGTGCGCACACGAGAGACAGCCCATGAGAGAGGAACACGGTCCGGTCAGGCCGCCACCCCTTCCTCCGGTCCTCTGGTCCTCTGGATTTGGGTATGTCACTACTAGCATGTTTCAAACTGACGGGGCTAAGGATTCGAACCACGGTCACCATGTGGGATCCAGCTTCCTTTTAGCAGCACATGACCATAGCCATAGTGCCAGCCCAGGTAATTCTTACAGAATAAAAAATTAAGCATTCTTTCTATTCTAAAGCATTCTATAAATAAGGGCATTGATTTCCACGTGGGATGATTTATACAATACGTACAGCTCTTTCTTCATCGGCAACTAAATTTTAGTTGCTCGTATAATAAAAGAAGCCTTTTTAAGAAGTTGGTCCAGGAAAATTCAAAGAACTGCCTAAGTCTGTGAAACTGGCATTGACCACAGTCTAGCCTTTGATTTGCTCTGTAGCTACAGATATTTTTATTCCTTGGAGGATGGCGAGCGTTCCTAAATGGCTACTGTCAGCATCAGCAGGTAGAGGGCAGAAATACAGAACCATGACAATGCTCATTTCCACAGCCAGCAGGAAAAACGGAAACTGTCTTTAAGGCTCGTATTTTAAAAATAAAAGAAGCGCAGGTTAGTGGTGGTTTAAACCACGTATGTATCTTTTTCAGGCTGCCGAGGCAAGGGCTCCAACGGCGAGGTCAGCTATTAGGATCTAACCTTCACCACCATGCCGCTGCTGGCCCCTCAACTATTAACATACAGTTTCTGCCATAGGGCACACCACCATGCCGCTGCTGGCCCCTCAACTATTACCATACAGTTTCTGCCATAGGGCACGTAGGCTCACCAGAGAGAGACCTAGACAGAGGCACAGAGAGGGGAAGTAGGAAGTCACCCTCCCAGGAGAGATGGCCACCTGCGACTCCCTCTCCACTCTCCTCGTGGCCTTGTGAGCACACACACACATGCATCCGGCAGTTTTCAAGCCAGTGCCAGTCCGGGACTTGAACTGCAGAGGACAGCTTTGTGGCATCCAGCACCTAACCTTCTTGCCTACATTATGTTTACACATAAAAAGCAACTATCTCTTACAGCCGAGGAGAATGACATCCCCAATGCCGCCATCTCAGCCCCCGTGTGAAAAGCTGTGCTGGAGAACACGCGGGTTCCCAGCGCCTCCCCGGGTCTGGCTGCTCTGACTTCCGGTCACTGCACTGCCGGAGGCCACGCTCCCTGTCTCCGCTGCACTAACACAGAAGCCAGCAGGCACTAATCCCCCCCACCCGCGGGTGAGGGTGGCCAGTGGAGAGGGAAGCAGGCCTCCTTGGCGTGCATTAGACTTTCCCTGGGAGGTGCAGTGACTATTTCAGCTGGCATCCAGGGCCTGAGAACGAGCCGCCTTGACCCACTTGCACATGGCTCCTCTGCCATGCCACAGCCTGACCCCACTCTCCCTCCAAGGCTGTCACCACACCCTCTCTGTATGCCCCATCTACCCCCGGGCTTTCCTCTGCAGCCCCGCAGGCCGTCCGGGTATGTCCACGTGCCAAACCCCACCGCTGTTTAAGCAGGAAACAAAGAAGCACTCAAGCAGGAGAGAGGAGCTTCATTCCTTTCTCTGAGCCTCTAGAAGGAAGGTCCATTACTCTTCACACACACAGTACCGACGGGGACCAGCAGATGGCAGCTGGACTCCCACGTAGTCGATCACAGTTCAAGTTCCGGACCCAGCAACTTAAACTCGCACCAAGCGCACATGTGTGCATGCCCAAAATCCCAAGAGAAAGGAGGAGAAGGGATTGCAACGTGGCCATCCCCCCTGGGGCGGTGATTTCTCGCTTTCTGTCTCTCTGTCTCTTTCTCTCTGTGTCTCTCTGGCGAGCTCACAGCCCTACCGCAAAAATGTCTCTCTCAAAATAAAAACAAAAACAAAACAGTATAGGTGACCATTCATTGATCACCAGAATCAGACACAGCCCCAAGTCACGCTCAGAGAGAACTATTCTGCTTGATCGCCGCCACCCGTGCCGGTCGTCAAGGACCGCCCTGTTAGTCAGGAGATGAAGAAGCAGTTGTCACTTTACAGGAAGGCGGACAAGAGATCTGCTCTGGGCTTGGCCAGGAGAGAGAATGGGAGTTCCCGGAGGTGTGCACCGACCCGCCCAGACCAGGAGCCTCAACAGGTATCTCCTAGGCCGATGGAGCACTGATGTGGGAGCACGGTCACAGCGGTGGCACCCCAGGTCACTTGCTGCAGGAAAGGACAGTAGCTCAGGCCAGCCCACGGCATGGTAGTTAAGCAGGGGTGGATCCCCCATGGCTAACTTTGCTGTTCAAGTCCTGAACACCGTCGCTTGAAAAACACACAGGGTGTATGTGCGTTTGTGCCCAAAACCCTGGAATGAGAAGTGGAGAAGAAGGGATTTGGGCATGGTTATCCCCCATGGAGGGAGCTTTCTCACTTTCCCTCTCTCTGTGTCTCTGTCTCTGTCTCTCTATCTCTCTCTCTGGTGAGTCCCTACACCCTCAAGCAAAATTAAAAAAAAAGAAAAAAAGAACACTAGCTACAAAAGCACCCAGAGATCTGTGCCCTTCCATCTGAGGCAAACACAAACCAAAAATTCAATGTATGAGGGTGTCATATAACAAGGCCACCCCGTCAAGACTAGTGTAAATGACACCTCCAAATTCCCCAGGTAACACTACATCCGAGAACAAGTGAGGCTGTCCACAGCAGCAATCAGTTTGTTTCCTCATGCAGAAATGGATTCTATCCACTTTTTTTTTTTTTTGAGAGGTTTTTCCTATAGGGCGCGTGCGCTCACCAGAAAGACAGAGACAGAGAGACAGAAAGCGAGAAATCACCCCTCAGGGGAGATGGCCACGCTGTAATTCCTTCTCCTCCATTCTCCTCTTGGGATCTTGGGCATGCATGCACACACGCCTGGTGTGAGTTTAAGCCACCAGGTCCGGGACTCGAATCCCTGTCAACTACATGGAAGTCTAGCAACATAGCCATTACGCCAACTGCTGGTCCCATGATTTGATCCACTTTTTAACCTGCTACAATTAAAATCCTCTGACATACTATATGTACGAATCTACATAAAGTTAGAATAAACTTTGCCCCATGAAAGGACCCATTTTCTCTGAAGCCTGAAGAAAACAGAACCCAGGCGCGGGGCGCCCGGCGGAAGCCGCGCGGGGCGCGGGAGCTCATGCCCCCG